CATGGCTGAGTCTAAAGGCTTCAGCCAACAATCAATTCTATCAGCATAATATTTGCTGACCCCTGATGATTCTTGTCCTGCTAAAAGCCTGGTGCCATCCTTATTTACTGTGTACAGGATACATTAAGAACATGGATTGGTGGATACTCCCAGACTTGTTTCCCTCTGCCTTCCTCCCACCGTATCATCAAATGGCAGGAAATCCTCCAGCTGGGGCCAGGAGAAGAGATGGGTAGATGAGCAGGCTTAGGCATCTGTCAAAGTTTTATTTGGTTTTGCACAAGTGTCATGCAAGCCTGCATTCAAAGGCAAAACACTTCCACAAAACCAGAGCAAGTTGTAACAGTTGGTTAAACCCACCAATCTGGCCATCTATTAAAACAGCCACTCTTCCCCTGAGTGGATTGTCAGATTTAAAAGGAATCTGACAGATTTAAAAAAGACAGGCTAAGCTGTGCTTAGAAGTTGCCCAAAAAACAGCTGAGTTGCACCATGAAGCAGAAGAACGGGAGCTGCCTCTCTCTCCCACTCTCAAATCAGCCCATTACCATTATTAGTCAACTTCCATTTGGGCTGATCCAGGTCCAGTGAGTGCATCTATACCATATTTGTCACTGCCCAGTGTTGCTTTTTGGCGAGATGGGTGGTGACAAATTTGATAGACAGACAGACAGACATCTGAAACACTTCAGATCAAAATAGTGCACACATGTGTTGACTCTATCTCTTCAGGTTTACCATGCACCTCTTTTGAATACCCCATTTCCGTTGCTTTATGTTTCTCCCGACTTATTTCCATAAAACATAATCAATGGCATGTACATCTGTGCAACAGAGGCAAGGAGAAATAAATAAAGAGTGGTAGTACTCAAGTGAACACCTTGCAACTAACTGATTTATTTACTTTTATCATTCTGATTCTTACTTGGCCTTCCTTCAATTAGTTCATTTTTCTCCTTTTTCCATCCCTGTCCTTCCTCCTTTTCTTTCACATCATGCACATTTTTTTGGTTTGAAGGCAGTTGTTTTCCATGGTACAGCTCCCTGGTTCATTTATCCCTCCTGCAAATCATTCATTAATTCTTTTCTTTTCTTCGTAAATAATATAATTGTATGAGTCTGACTTCTCTCTGCCTTTGTCCTTGGGAACAGTTTTCACCTACCCCTTCCCCACCCTTTTCCCATTTCATTCTGGCTCTAGTGTGTGAGTGTGTTAATAGTAGTGTCATTAGAGAGATCAAAGCCAGGCAAGTGTACAGAAAATATCAAATTGCACTAACAAAGGATAACTTGAGAGCTTTGAGAACACAGCAAGCAGTTAAAATGATCAAAAGTTCCCATAACTTGAAAACTGCACTTATTTCTTTGACATTTGGCACAGTTCATTGTCTTGTAATAGTCATGCCTTTATGTAGATATGAACACTTGAATAAACTAAAATTTAAAGTATACTTTGAAAACCCAGGTACCAATTGCTCTGAAATTTGGCCCACTTTTGTCCTATTTCCTCCTATTTATCTAAGGCTCCTGAAAATTTTGTTCTGTTCCCTTAAAGAGCAACTTGATATTTATTTTCTTCATGAGGGATAATGCAAGATGGATCTTGGGTTTTCCTGAGCCATGCTCCAGAATCAGTAATGTATTCAGACAAGTTAACTAAAAATTTGGAGAAGCAGGGATTGACTATAAGGTCATTTCCTCACTGGTGATGTATAGTGTCTTCAGAGCATTTGTTATGCTGGGTGGTTTTACTGGAAGATGGCAAGGAGGAATTGGGGGTGGTGTGTACCTCTTTCCCTTAGGTGAATGGTACATGGCACTCTATATGATTTTATATTTTCATGTAATGGTTCAGTATTATAGAACCAAATTGAGCAAGCATTTATGTAAGTCACTAAAGGGTCATACTTGGGTTTTATTTTGTTCTAACATGACCCTGGTGAGACCCCTTTATAAGTAAGATGATCTTTCTCATCTTCAGTCCCAATTAACCTTGAGAAACAGATGCTCCTTAACTCTGACATGGTCCCATTGCCACCTGGTAATCAAGTGAGATTAGACCATTGAAAAGCAAGTGGGCTTAATTAGCATTCGGGCTATATAAGCTAATCAGAAAGCCCCATGGGATGGAACCTAGATGTAGACCTAACTGGGTGAGTGCTGCACATTGGCTGACTTTGAAAGAATCCACCTGCCATCATCTCTCTGGGGTTCCCTATCTATCAGAAAGGATATAAAGTCTTTCCTTCTCTCTTATTGTATTCTTAAATATGTTTAATTACTGTCTTGTGTTAATATTCTTTGATTGCTGTCTTGTGTTATGTGGCTATGTTATTTTTATACTGTCTTGGAATAAAGCTTTAAATATTCATACTGGTGTGGAAACCCAAAAGAACCTGTGACCCAACCCTACTGGGCTGTGGGCAGAGTAATATAGCATCACCCAGTCAACACTGAAAAGATACAATGCCTATCCTCACTATTGTTATTTTTTACACAACAATGGTTGGATAACTGTAGAAGACATTATTGGCTCATTCTTGAATCCCCCTAACTGCAGCACAAACATGCACTGGTAACAATTTTTGTATGACATATCCCAGTGACATTGCCTATATCTCATACCCAGCCCATAGTCAAGGCAGCTTAAAGCTATGCTTAGCTGTTCCAATTTTATAGTGTTCTTCTGATGACCCATTTTTTGCCATCAGCATATTGTGCTCTGGCACACTTAACTGACAATGTACCCATAAGTACCGAGGTGCCAAGCCATATGGGGCTTTATAACTTAAGCTAGCAGTTTGAACCCATTGGCAATCAATAAAGGGCCCACTGGATAGGTGTAATATGCTCATAATAATTAATACCAGGCACCCAATGGGTCACTGCAGGTGTAATGGTTAACCATAAGGCATGGGGACTCCCACACCATTCCAGTGACCAGATCAAAGGAGCCTAGAGAGAAATCCAGTGGAACAGCAGCTTATCCCTACAGCCCAACTTAACATGAGGACTCAAACCCCACCACTTCGAGAGCAGTGCCCACTGGCACAAACAAGTGTCAACTCTAAGAATAAGGGTTGTGCCACTCTACAGTAGCTTTGGTAGGATCAGCACACAAGGAGATAGATGATTTATATGTACAGAGAAGAGACCAAAGGGCAAAGGTGTGGTTCCTGCGTCATGCAGCACTAAAGCTTTAATGCCTATTATTTGCTCTGGAGCTCTCTGAATACTTCCCTTTTTCTGTGTATTAAGGCTCCTTTGAACAGAGGGGCAAAGTCTGAAACTTGAAGCCATGTTCCAGGCACAGACACAACTCTTTCTGTGGTCATTTTCCTGATTCTGTGCTCAGCAGAGAGAAATCCTGGGTTTGTTCTATCAAACAATCTATTACCACAACAATTCAGAAGGTAAGCTGCTTTACTAAATCCTGCTCCACTTCCCTCTTGTTGATGGAATAATTGCATTGATTTCTCAAGTCCACTTGCTCATAAGTAGAGCCAAACCCAGCCTCAAAGAATTTTGGTCTTTTCAATAACCTTTAATGGATCTTGGCTAGTCTTGGAAAGCTAAGCCAGGGTGCCCAGGTTAGTACTTGGAAGGGGGACTACCTTGGAATTCCAGGTCTATTGACCAGATTGGGAAGTTTACAAAAGTTTTTTAAAAGTTAAAAATTCTGAAAGAAGGCTATGCATAACACAGAGAAGAGAGCCAACTGGATCCAGTCAACTGGGGGCTATCTTTATCTTACAATAATTTCATTCTTTACAATAATTTGAGAAGGTGGAAGGGTCTCAGGTAGAAAGGAAAGAGTTAATAAAGTTGACGGCCATGGAAAGGGATGTGCTGGTGCTAGAAAATACAAGGAAGCGAATCTTAAAATTATGTTCATATAAAACATAACAAAATTGCTTGGGTTTTTTTGCTTCTCAAAGGAAATAATTATCTTGTGGATTTTAGCTTTGTAGGGAAGACAGATTTTGCATGCAGGAAGTCCTGGGATGAGTGTCTGGCATCTCCAATTAAAATCTAGGCCATATGCTACCAGTCAGATTAATACCAGGGCTGGGTCAGATGGTCTGAGCAAGCTACAGATTCCCCCCACCAAAGTGCTATTCTCTAGAGTTATTATTAGATTTAGGATAACAGCTGGCTTAGAATGTTGAGAAGAAATAAAATGCTTGAATCAAAACAGCAGAAATGTTTACTAAAATGCAGATCTTGTATTTTATTTATTTATGCATGTATTTATCCATCCATCCATCCATCCAATTTATATGGTCACCCATCTATCCTAGAAACTCTAGGTGGTGAACAAGATAAAAACAAAGAATTCCATTAAACCTAAAAAACCAAAACAAAACCCACCCTGTATTGAGGCTCGGCAAATTCACAGAACTGCTACTGTAATTTGAAAACATAAAGTAGAAAATGCAAACCATAAGATAGAAATTGGGGAAATTCAGATGACACAGCTATGAGAGTTACACTATATCATAAAACACTTTAAAGATTAACAAAATCTTATAGAATGATCTTTTGTGGATTAGACAATCTGTTTTCTTAGAGGCACAAGCAATTTTCCTCAACTGTCAGATCATCTCAAAGAATCATAGAGTTGGAAATAAAGGTCATCTAGTCCAACCCTTGCTGGGTGTGAGATCCACTAAAGCAGTGTTCCTCAACCTTGGCTGCTTTAAGCTGTGTGGACTTCAACTCCCAGAATTCAGAATATCTGGCTGGGGAATTCTGGGAGATGAAGTCCACACAGCTTAAAGCGGCCAAGGTTGAGGAACACTGCACTAAAGCATCTCTAACAGGTGACTATCTAGCCTCTGTTTGAAGATCTTCAGTGAAGGAGAACTCACCATGACATGTGGCAGCCTCTTTCACTGGCTGACATCTCATACAGTCAGGAGGTTTCTCCTAATGGCTAACCTGAAACTCATTCCTTATAGTTTAATACTCTGTCTCTTGATTATATATATAAAAATATTTGAATTTGTAACACTAAGTTCAAACAATCATGAAATACAAGATTCACATCTGGTACATTTCAGTGCATAGCTCAAATGTATAGAAGATTAACAATGGTGTAGTGACGGATGAGGAACTATAAAAGTCATTTTATGGAGAAACACAGTATAAAATGGCAATTATACTGAGAAACATCCAGCGATTCATTGTTATTTTCCCCACTTAATTTTTCTTTCCTTTTCTTCTGTACTGCCTTTCTGTGCATTTGATATTTTCTTTTGTTACGCATTTCAAGGTATGAAGGGGTTATATAAAGGTCACTAAAAAGGATCTTGAAATGGAAAATTGAAATTGTAAAAATCATCTTGACTGGTTGGGATCAGAGGCCAGCCATCTGTCAAGATCCAAATCCCAGCAGGAATTTGTTCTCCATTTCTCCCACACACTGCTTCTCTTCCTATCATCCACTCGGGTTTCCTAGTTTTTGTCCCTAACCCATAAGGAAAAGGTAGGCAGAAAAAGGAAAAGAAGCCTTGAACTCTCTACTTTTTCATCACTATAGCTTCCTCTCTGTGAAGGAGCTCAGGTGAAGAGATCTGTTCCTTGAGGGCAATTCACAAGAGCAAAGAGAAATAGAAGGAGCCCAGCTTGGTGAACTCTGGACAACAGCAGGAATTTGACCTACCAGCGCCCGCAAGGAACAGATGTGGTGACAAAGGAGAATGGAATTGTTGTATTTTCTTTCTTCTCCCTGATGTTACTGCTCCTTTACTCACCTGATTATCAGCTGTAGCACTGGAGGAGAAACTGGGTGGGAACAGCATATGCCTTCCAATAACTCTCCAGGAGTGACTGAGCAGATGATAATGATTACAATGGAGAGCAACATTAGCCACCACTGCTTAACTTTAGAGTTGAAGCCAAGGGTCTCCCAATCCAATGCAAGGATAGAATGGTTTGTCAATGGGTTAATACGTAGATAAAGTCACTGTGTGTGAGTTGGGTGGCCATATAAATACAATCAATCAATGCAATGTAAGTATAAGTATATTCACAAATAATTTTTTCCTTGATTTTTACTTTGCCCATTCTTTCTTTTCTCTGCTTGTCTCTCTATCTCCCATAGACATGCACACATCTGCACACAAATACATATACATATCTAAGATCTTTGATTGCATTGTCACAAATGTTGTGCACCTGACTGGCAAACATTTTGATAGATATATGTATAATTTGTAGGATCTGAATTCAGAATGGAAGATCGCTTTGGCCATAGGAATGGTGCTTATTGCGAGTAAGTCTATGTATTTCAATCTTAATGAGAGTTTGCCACAATAAACTATTCTTAGACACAGATTCTAGAAAGTCTTTATCAAGAAGATTTGGATTGTATTAATTACAGAAGTCTTCAAGTGAGATTTAGCTCACATCTCGAACAGCAGATCATTTCATTTTTTTCAGAGTAATGCATTTTTATTATTGGAAAATAAAGTTCTTGATACAGTAGTAACAGAGCAAGGGTGGGGATAATTGAGGTATAAGAGAGCATAAGTGAATAGTAGACCTTTCAAAAACATTTAAATCCATATGCCTTATTTTTTTTCTCCACAGTGACACTGGAATCCGCTTCAACAGAGTCAACAGCATGTCCAGGCCAAGTGGCAAAGCTATTTACCGTAAGGATAGCCTGCACTCCTCTTTCCAGATCATCTGGGTGGAATCAAATCCTAGGAGACTAAAATGTCTTTTTTTTTTAATCAAAGGAGCAAAAATCCAGTTGTAGCCACCACTGTCAATTTTCTTGTATAGGGGTATAACTCTTTTATCTCA